TGTAGAGACATCTTGGATGATAATGACCTTGATCAATTGCTCTACCAACTGCCAGCTCGTATTTGTAATAGAGATTTTCCTATCTTCATAACTCATATTTGTTCTCATTCACACCTTCATGGTGACATGCTTAATTATAATAGTGAAGTTGATCAACTTGTTGCTATTTCCTCACCAGATTGTTTAGCCACTGAATTGCATACTTTAACTCATGCATATACCAAAGGTTTACGTCAGAAATTTCCTCAACTTTCCATGCAACAGGCTCACGAAATCACCTTTTCTTGTCCTACTAGTGGAATGCTTAACAATCCTACTTTTCAGCCTGGAACGAATCCTAGAGCCTTGCAAAGTAATGAGTTGTGGCAAATGGATGTGACATATATTCCTGCTTTGGGAAACTTGGATTTGTATATGTTGTTGTTATAAATATTCTGGCTTTCTATAGGGCCTTTGTACTATGGGGAAAAATTTGCACATGTTAAAAATCATTTATTAGAAAGTTTTGCTATTATAGGTAAACCTAAAACAATCAGTCCTGACAATGGACCTGCTTATGCAGCCCATTCCTTCCCACAATTCTGTGCCTTGTGGGATGTTAATCCTTGTACCGGCGTTCCGTACAGTCCTCAGGGACAGGCATGTCTGAAAGGGTACACGCTACTCTTACATTTATGTTAGCAAAACAAAAAGGGGGAGATGGGGATAGAAGCTCACCAAGCCAATTGTTACACAAAGCCCTATTTATCTTAAATTTTTTGGATATTAGTAAAGATTCATCTACTACACCAGAACCGATAGGGTAACCCATCTTTTGGAAAGATATTCACAGTGGACAGTGGGAAACAGGTATTGTTCAGACTTGGGGTCGAGGATTTGCTTGTGACATTAGACTCAGGAGAAAAAGTGTGGTTACCTGCTAGGAGAATTAAACCTCAACATAAGCCACAAAAGAGTCAGATTCGATCTGGATCCTCGGGCGGAAGATGTCGCTGCAACACCACCTCCAGACACCGACCAGGAACACTCAGAAAGCACAACCGCCAACCTGGGGACAACTTAAGACATTAACCCATGATGCTGAGAGGCTGCTGGACTCCACGGGACAAGGGCTTACAGCTGTCTGGGACGCTCATTCAGAAAACGCCGAGAGGCGGGAAGACAGTTGGCGGCCTTCTCATTAGTGCTTCAAAGGGTTGCAGCAAACAAAAAGGGGGAAATGTGGAGAAGGACATTCCTTAGTTTATCTTTCAATGTGTTACTTCAGGCCTGACCAAGCCATACGATTGTCTGATTCCGGAGGAGGTCTAGCAAAAGCACTGGGGTAAAGGAAACAACTGCAGGACCTGTGTCCTGCGGAAAGCCTCTGGGACAGCGCTGGCTGCTGCGCTGAGATGCGCCCGAAGGAACGATAACATGATGCTAACTGAGTCCAGCCTCATCCCTGTGATAACTGAGCTGTATTGTCCTTGCTAAACCTGCTGACATCCTCCCACACGCCCTGCTGCTTCCTTTGTTCTTCTCAATAAAAGGTTACTGAAGATGGTGATCCGGGCTTCAGTCCCGAGGCTGCAAGCCCCCTGATCCCAGAATTATCCCTCTCTTACTTTTCTTGTTTCTCTTGCTTTTCTTTTCATCTGCGGCACCTCTCTCTCGGGACCTGTCCCCCGGACAGAAACGGAATGTAGACCGCCAGTGCATTGTCTCAGTTCACCCACAGGACACGTCTTTGGGGAGGGGTATCACCACAGCTCGCTCTGACAGAAGAGACTGAGATTGACAGAGCAGAAAATGGGTGAAAGAGAGGATTCTGATCCCCAAGTCTGTCTTCCTGGGGGCTCCAGCATGAATGGACTGCATGACAATCGGCAGAGGCAAGAAACTAGATGAGAAGTTGTTATAGCAATACCAGCAGGGAGTTCCTGCCCGTGAAATGGAGCAACAGCAAGTTACTGTAAACACTGATGGGATGGATCAGAGGGGTGCAGCTCGGGGTCCTGGCTGGTGCATAACGGATGTTAGGTTTTTTGTTTTTATTTTAAACAACAAGTGATGAAAGCCTGGGTGGAAACAGGAGACAGTTGTTCTGGAAACACTCATGGGTTTCCAGAACTGAGAAGATAGCAAAATTGAGGGTTGGATGACTATCTTATCTGGCTGTGTACAGGGATGGGGGGAAGGTCTCAGATGCACCTTGTACGTGAGCTGTGGGCTGTGGGACAGGAGAAGGGAGAGAACAAAGTTAAAGATAAGCAGCAAGTAAGCAGCTCCTAAGCCCGCTGAGCTGTACAGATATTCATAATACTCCGTCCCCCGGCTTCTGGCTGTCAAGGCTGCCAGCAAACTGTAGAGCCCTTGTCCAGTGGTATCCACCTCCTTCCTGAAGCAGATACTTTTAATCTGCACGACCGTGAGGGAATCATTTAACTTCTTTGTGTCTCGTTTATCGCAGGGGAGTCGGGGTAAAGAGTAACAGGACACGTCTCAGCCTCCACAGTGTGGCCGGGACGGGAAACAGGGCTCCGCATGGGCCTGGGTGTGCTCTGAGCAGTAAGGCAGAAGTCACCCCTAACACTCCATCGTCTCTAACAGTATTTCTCCATCGTCTGCACATCTACAAGTACTTTGATAGCAGCTACGAGCCCCAAAGCAGAATCCTCTACTTTCTTGATTAACGCTTCATCTCCAGCCAGCTCAGAATAGTGACAGGCTTGTGGCAGCAGCTATTTAAATATCTGTGGGATGAATGAATAAGGAAACCTATCTTACCATCTTCCCCCCTCCCCCTCGCGCTCCTATCCATCTGTCCTTTCATCCATCCATCCACCCATCCATCCATCCATCTGTCCTTCCTTCCATCTATCCATCCATCCATCCACCCATCCATCCACCCATCCATCCATCTATCCATCCATCCATCCTTCCTTCCTTCCATCCATCCATCCATCCACCCATCCATCCATCTATCCTTCCTTCCATCCATCCATCCACCTATCCATCCATCCATGTATCCTTCCATCCATCCATGTATCCTTCCATCCATCCATCCATCCATCCACCCATCCATCCATCTATCCATCCATCCATCCATCCATCCATCCATCCATCTATCCTTCCTTCTTTCCATCCATCCATCCATCCATCCATCCATCTATCCTTCCTTCCTTCCTTCCATCCATCCATCCATCTATCCTTCCACCCATCCATCCATCCAACCATCCATCTATCCATCTACCCTTCCTTCCATCCATCCATCCATCCATCCATCCATCCATCCATCCATCCATGTATCCTTCCATCCATCCATTCATCCTTCCATCCATCCATCCATCCATCCATCCATCCATCCATC